ACCTTTGACTGAGGACGAGTGCTGCACACCTCTTTTCCCAGAGAGGATTAAATGAAAGTGGACATGCTCTGAGCGCTGCTCACTAGCGTGCGGCTTTTCTTGATCCCATCTGCTGGCCACGGCCAGGCCTCACAAAGGCTGCTCCCGTAGCGCAGCCCAGTGTGGCCTGTGCTGGGGTGACCACCAAGCACAGATTGTTTTAAAGCTGAGTGACAGAGCAAGGCGGGGTGAGGTGGGGGGCGACGGGACATCAAAAAATGCTTTTGCAGAGTGGGTAGAAATAAATTGTCCATACAGTGGTAGTGGGCAGGAGAAGAAGTAATGACCTTATGTTTCAGCTTAGTTCTATATTAAGAGAAGCCTCCAACCAGTAGGCACTGCAATGGATCGCTTGGAGAGGCTGTGACCTTCCATCAGTAGAAACTTTTGGAAACTTACAGGAATGACACAGGTATATGTGCTCCAGCAATGAAAGGATAGGATGTGTGTTGGGGTTTTTTTAAAATATATATTTATTTTTTAATGCCAATTCAAGACTTTTTTTTCTTTTTTTTTTTTTTTTAACATGTCATTAGAAACCAAGAGCAGCGTGCAATGGCTTCTTTGTCATATTGGTTTTGCAGGACTCTGTCCACGCCAACAGTCATTTTATTCACAGCAAGTGAGTGTGGGGGCAAAAAAGGCCATCACTCCATGATGCTTCATATGAAGTTGATTCATAAAAGATTTGTCATGTTGCTTAGATTGTGCAGTTAACATGCATGGCAGTTTGAGCATGCACTGATGTTTTTGTATGCTAAGAGCTCAGTTACGTTCCTACTGAAATTTAATGGGACTAAAATAAAGTACTGAGGAAGAAAAAGTATAGTTAATATAAATGCTTTGTATGAATTGCATGATTCTTCAATTTTTCTTATTCCTGCGACTTTTAAACAGTAATATACAGAGGGAGTGTGATGCACCTTAAAGAAGTTTTTTTCAGATAAAAGAATGAACAGTGAATTTTGTTTGAAAAACCATGAATGTGCTTGACCTTATGTAGGCAATGTGGGGCATAATGAGCTGTCTCGGAGAAGTTGAGTCTACTGTCTTCCACAGTGAGGAGAAAGAGTGACAAGAAGGTAATACAGCTGATTCATCTGGGGCACGAGTGTCTCCAACAAACATCCCACAATGCACACAAATACAGTAGGAACAAAGGGATAACGCAGCAGATTCAGAGAGTGATCTTTGATGTAATTTTTGTTTTGCTTTGGGTTTTTTTTTCCCCCCAGAGCTTTGGTTGATTAACGAGGCGAGAGTGAACCCTAGCACTAAGGCAGACAGGCAGCAGCTGTCACAGCACAGCTACGAATCTCTGCCTGTTCTTATCCACCAGCCCTTACTGTTGAGGCAAGGTTTCAAGGGACCTGGGCTGTCTTTGAGCTGATGGAAGTCTGGACAGTCAGCGTGACAGTGGTGAAGGTCTGCATAAAGTTTAGGAGAAAGGGAGAGAGCTGGAGAGCCTCAGTGCAAAGGGGGCAAGGGTGGGAAGGTGTAGCTGCGGGAGCAAGGCAGGTCTGCAGTTCTGCAGGATGGAGAGCTGGACAGAAACTCGCAGCACGGTGAGCAAGGCAGGCTACGCAGCGATGCTGTTACAGCTTCCTGGTAAAGCCTCTGGAAGAGAGTTTTCTGCTGTAGTGCAGTCTGTGTCAGCAAAGTGATGCTCGTAACAGTTAAATGGTCAGCATGTTACATCTAAGGTTTACAGAGGCTATGTTATCATTAGGTTAATTACATCCCTCCCTCCTAAAAGGTAGAAACACAGCAGTAAAAATCTATAGCCCTAGACCTAGGTAAGCGACCTGTGGCGTGAGCATAAAGCCAGGTTCCGGTGGTGGCAGTGAGATGCCAGTGGTTTGGTGATTCAGAGGTGCTGCAGAAACCCAGGATTCGTGTGAGCTCCCTCCTATGGCGAGAATAATAAAGCCTGTAAAAGGGAAGCAGCAGCAGGAGCTGCTGAGGAAAGGGACAGTTCATAGGTTTTGGAAAGAGACCTGGCAAACCCAATTTCCATTTTTACTTTTCTCCCTTCTCCCTGTCCCCTCTGCTGAGTATTAAGGGGTGTAAACAGAAACAAACCCCTTGTACACCAGCAGTTTCTGTGAGGAAGAGGTGGTTTATTTCTACGAGTTTGAGAAGGCCTGTGGCCCAGTGGGTATTTATTTACTATGGATCTTTCCCTTACATATGACATGTAACGAACATAAAAAAAACAAAATAAATGATGGCTCCACCCATCTTCTATGTGTGGTACAAACATTTAGGCCTTATTCAACTGGCATACCACGGCCTTCCAAGTGCGCCTACAGGTATATTCACTGATTGGAATTCTGATGCATGCCTCAAATGTATTTTCAGCCTGCAGGAATACTTGTAAGAGTCATAAAAAAAGCAGCTACGTATCTTCTGAAGCCAGTGCTAAAGTAGACACCAGCTGAGGGTAGCAAATAAACAGAAGTCTGTCCTGCAGAGCAGAACATCTGAGGGCAGCCACAGCAGGGGCATGCGCGCCGCTGAGGGCACAGTGAGAGCGTTAGGAACAGACCTCAGCGACAAATGCGACCCCCTTCTTTCATAGGAAAAGTTGGCGATGATCAAAGATGTTTTCAAAACACGTTTCTTACTTGTTCTACGTGTTCAGCCACAACCTCAGATTAATAGCATATGCCATGATCACCAGAAGTGAAAAACGACGCGAGAAAACCTGAGCCAGGCAGGCCTCGGACTCTGGTCAAGACACGGTGAAGTGTAGATTTGTACTGCAAGTGCAACCTTTCTTGCGCTTCGTTACTAGAAATGTCATAGCTTTTTCTTGTTTTCTCAGGACTGTAACTGCACTGAGAAGTTCCTGTTCCATAAATACACCAATTTATTTTTTTTTGCCTCATGTTAGGGGACCAAGCTGGGCGTAGAACCTGCCTGTGGTGACTTACCTGCACTGTAGTTCTTGTACCAGCAATACAAGGGCGAAAGGAAAAAGACACACAATACAATGATATCTCTGCACACCATGACTATTTTTGCAAGACTTATGTCTAGACAAATAATAACACAGAAGGCCTGTGGAGGGGGTGGTGGTGGTGAAACAGCTGGCAACTCTGCTCTGGGGACATGCCTGGCCTTCTGTCTTGGGGATATTTCTCCTCCTGTGGAAAAAGGAGGTCAAACTCTCGCAAAGGCACATGAAGTTCTTCATACGTGACCTAGTTTGCGTTTGAAGTATCACACCATACACATACCATAAAAGCAAACAGTGGAGCAGTTTCATCTTTTTGATTTCAGCTTTTCTATTTTCATTACCTGTCTTGCCAAGTGACTGCAAGGGGAGGCTTGCGCTCTCCATGCAACGGCACTGCCACTAGCGGGCTCCAGACGGGCAAAGTCCGCTGCAAGGGAGCTAAGCTCTTAACTCTTTTGGGTTTCATTTTTTACCCTTTCTCATAAGAGTGTCTTTTCATGAAGAGAAAGTGTGATTTGTGTTCAAGCACAACCATGCTGCATTATTTAAGAGCAAGAATCTTCTGTAATATCTAAATTGTTCATGTGACTTCGTTTACAAGGATGTTGCCTAAATATAAGCGTTCCCTGCTGCAAGGCAGCTTGGACAGGACCACCTGCCATGAGGCAATGCCAGGCAGCTTGAGGAGCTGAAAGAATTATGATGGAGACCTAAACGAACGAGATATGAACTCTTTTTTGTGGGAACCAAACTGGACTAAAATTGTTTTTTTCATGTTGGTACATACTCAAAGTTAAAACCAGACAGTGGTCAAATAAATATCCTTTAATAAAGAAAAAAGGAATCATTTTAAAGCACCAAAACTGTGAGTATGATGTTACATTGCATGTACAGGAAGGTGAGTGCAGTACTCGGTGTACAGGTTTAAATTTCTGAGTCATGATAATAAAACCTATGAAACACGCAGCAATAAAACTTGCATTGCAGAAAAGCGGTGCTAAAGAAAAAAAGAGCAAAAAGCAGACAGTTAAAACTTCTTTTAGTTTTCAGGTATTGCTAGAAATGTTCAGGTTTTTACCTTTTTTTTTAAACATACTTGTTGCTTAATACTTTATAGCATTGAACATTTTTAGGCATAGTAAATTTGCAGAGTCGTTTACAATAAAATATACATTTAATATGTACTTTTGAATATAATGGAGTTAACTGTCTTAAAGCCAAGCACAATGTGCTAGTAGTGTTTGAGTCTACCGGTAATATTGCACAAAGCTAGTGAATGGCAAACTGGTTTTCTTCTGAGTATTTATTTATTCAACAGGCTTAACAAAGAAGTTAGTTTCATTAAACTTCACTGGCTTCGCTCATGCATGACAACCTGCAACCATCTGTATCTCTGAAGTTTTCATCTTACCATGATGCATTTGTACATATTTAAGCTGAAATTTAAAACACGCAGCAACCATGGTAACACGCCAGGAGATGTTCAGTGAGTATCCCTAATCCCCAACACCTATTTCCCAATTCAGAAATCAAAAGTATGTTTCTAAATCTGAAAATCAAGCTAGTTTATGGCAAACGAATTACCGAATAGGTGACAGTCTCTGGAGTAAAATCTCTGCGGAGTTTGGACTATATTCACCGAAACGGCCATCCTTCATCCTTCGTACTCATTTCAGATGGACATGCTACTGGTTAACAGCCTTAGATACCAGCTCTAAATAATGCTCTACATTAATATTCGAAATTCAGCAGAGTAAAACTCATTGCGTGGTCATTTTCCATAGTAGAGGTACATCAGAGCATTCACATTTGAGAATGGAAAGACGACCTTTTCTGTCAAATTCTGAAGCTCTGGGCCACAGAACATAGAAGACCTGAATCACAATAAAAGTACATAAACATCAGGTTGCATATTCACCGCAGTCAGAGCTGGGAGTTTTGGATTAACAAACTGAATGGGAAGTGCAAAGAACCGTATATACAACAGCCCCTCCCAAAAATACACTGGCATGCCCACCCACCCTTGACCCTCCTAAAAATCCTAATTTAAAGTATTTATGTATTAGGCAGCAATTAAATATAAATCCATTTTGTAGGAAAAATTTAAATTACAGTATATTTATAGGTTAAAAATAGCCACTGCTGTACTTTTTACAGCATTGATAGCAGAATGTCAATGTGCTTATTGCACCAAAGAGCAATTTGCAGTCAAGTTTAGGATGACCTTCTGTCTGCCAGCTCCAGTAGCACTGAAATCATGCAATGCGCTCTCCCAGTAAGGTGCTTCTATTTACTCCTTTTCTTTGCAAGAAGATTTGCTTGTTCTTAACATTAATTCTGTAGTGCTAAACATAACAACACACTGTCCGTGCTTACGGAATCATTACCAGAGATATATCCAGGTAATTTAACTACATAAGCACCACAATGAAAATAAAATCTGATTACACACGTGAGCAAATTGATTTACAAATTACACTCTCGAAATTCAGTGCAACAAATGGAATAAGGGTAACATTAACCAATAAAAGTTTCTGCCTCCTCTTCTCAGTAAGTTGCATCTTCAATAATGCACCTGTCATTACTTTAATATTAAAACATTACAGGATATAGTGCTTATACTCAAAATGATTCTTTACAAGTAATGTAGTGAAGTATGTTGAGTTCTATCCCCAATGCAGCCACAAAAGAACACAATATATAATCATACTGATTTATTATACAAGTGTCTCGTGTAGGATGAGACTCTCAGATTTTTTTTTTAAAAAAAAACCTTAAAGTTCAAAGTGATGTTTAAGAAAAATAAAAAAGCCTTCATCTACCCGAGATGGGTAACTTAACTAACATATGAAAACACAGTAAAGTGAATAAAATAAGACTCTTGGTCATTTGTAAAGGATCTGGAACGTCTGTGAGTGAGAGCGTGAAATTCATGTTGGTGCAAATTCTGTTTCTCATCAAAACACTGTTGCTGTTTACCTTCCATTTTGATTATTTTAGTAGAAATTGAGTATTTCATCTATTGTTCCCACTCACAAAAGATTTTTCAGTCCCCACATAAGCATTTGTACCATAAACATGACGCATTCCAACTCTCTACCTCACTGGGTCAGTTACACTATACTAAAACAGTTTTAATTTGAATGAAGAAAGAAGTTTCTAAAAATGGAAAAAGCCTGAAAGCTGACAAACTGCTCAAGATAAGCGCCTAGCAACAGAACTGCACAGCCAGCACAATGAAGTCCAGCCACAAACAGACAATACCAATGACCAGTAGAAAGGTATTTTTATGGAGGCTGTCTCTCCTTGCATAGGTTTAAGGTGTTTTTTCATGTAGTGATGCTTGCTAAGATTTCTCAAGGACCAACACAATTATTGGACCTTTTCTCAGCTGTGGAGGAACCGATCTCAATGCAAGACCGCCATCATTTCCTTAAGTTTCTTGTGAATATACTTATACTTTCCCCATTTGCTGCTGTAGCCATCCCACTGCAAAATTTCACGTTACAGAGGGTGGGAAGTTTTATGCATTAGCCTCTGAACTACATAAGCACAATTTCTGTATCAAAGTCGAGAGTTATGTAAAATTGTGACACCTAGTGACTCATAAAGGATTAAAATCCAGGATGATTTTTTTTTTTTTAGCAGTAATTGGAAAACCCCCCCATTTATTTTCCACATTGAGGATGGCAGTTTTGAACTGACATAAACGGCTGTGTTCAGCACAACAACTACTTTTTTGTGTGTGCATGAAATACTGTTCATATGAGAACTCCATTTCTATAAATTAAGCTATTGCAGGAATCCAAGATTTCAGCTAAACATGAAACAGATTAAGGACAGCATTTTTTCTGAAATCATGCACACATTTTTCAAGGCAAAGATGACAGATCATGTGGCAAAAAACCCCTGAAAACTGTAGTACAGTACGGTGTGGAGCTGTTTAGATAAATCACAACATGGTGGTAAATTGTAGACACAAATGTTGTGTAAGGGGACCACTGCACCTATACTTTAAAGTTACACTATTATTCCTCAGCTTGGACTTTTGCTAGTGTCCCATATGCATACTTAAGGAATAAAACTGCAGCCTGGAAAATAGGAAAAAATGGACATAAAAGTTGCTCAATCACCACTATTCATTTAGGACTATGTTTATATAGAACTATATAATCTGAATTACGATTCTACATCATAGTTCTGCTTTGTGCTACAGCCAAAAATTTGATTACTTCGGTTTTAACATGTGGTGTGACTGGAAGTACAGACAAATGTAGTGCAAAAATACACCACAGCTTATGGTACAGGCCATGTCAAACGATTGTGATGAACTTTGAAATGGCTGTTATTGCCACGTGAACACAGTGTTAGACAGCTTACAACCACAGCATGTAACTCGGGGTTCAGAGAAGCGGTTTAAGAAAAAAACACCATGTAGTTTTAGGTCCTTGGAAAGCCAGTATCAAGTTTGTCACAGAGCTGATCTCAGGAGAGAAGAATACAGACCTGACGACTAACACAGCAAAATCGATACAAGTCTACAGTAATGCTGCTCACAGGTCCTTTGAAAATGAATGTTCGCTAACTTTATAAATAAGGCAACAAGGTTAAGAAAATGCCTGTCGATAGCAAGGGTAGTGACATCCTTTCAAGATGTTTGACAGAGCTTTAATTCCAGGACAGCCACAGCAAAACAGCTGAAGGGTCCAACAGGTGAGGTTCCTTTGGGTTACATAGCCTATTGCTAAGGTAAGTTCTCCTATTCCTCTTTATATAAGTAAATGGCAAGACATAAAATCTCCTGTTATAAATGTTAACACAGTACATGTTCTGCTACATGACAGCAGCAACACGTAACTCCACTTAAAAAACCCCACAAATCCGTGTTGCAGTTGGTCTGTCAGGAGAGGAACAGCAAATGGGACACGCTACACCAAGGACAGGGACTGTGCATTTCTCAAGCACAGTGTATGTCATGCTAGTAAAAATAAAATGCGAGTGAAAATTCAGTTTTCTTAGAATTGTAACAGGCTGACTTTACTATCACATGGGAGTTTCTAGATGGTACAAGGCTACTTCTATCTCTGTACTGATGCACCTCTCAGTACTCTGGCATCATAGGAGTAGCTACCTGCAGCCATTAGTCATGAAACTTAGGATTACTTCTAAGTATTCACCACAAAGGAACTTGTAAATCTCCATTAAAAAAAATAGTCAGGATCAAATGGGAGCTTTTTTTTCAGCCAGAAGGCTTTTGGGTATGAAATACAAACATTTTTGCAGCCAACAAAAGGGAATAATAAAAACCAGCAAGAGAAGCATAATTTTTGCAACTGACTTACCAGTACATTTAATGCTTTGATCTTTTTTAAAGATGGCTGCTTAGAGTAATCAAAAGCCACTTTAAACCAAAAGAGAAAAATAATTTTAAGTATGAAATTACAAAATATTGCTTCTTATAACAAATGATAAAAGTATAACTTGGTTCAGCACAGCCAAATATTATTTTAAAAAAGCATGAAAATGTCTACTTTAAAAAGGTGTAAGACTACAAATGACCTTCTAAAAAGGTGCTGCAGTATGTCTTGCTAAATATACCATGCTGGAAACAAACACATTCTTGAGTATGTACTGAATTCAACTCTCTTACTTCTCATTGTGTTGTGGTCACTTGTCACTTTTCATACTGCCATATACTTCTTCAAACTAAGAAGAAAAAAAGTCTTAGTTGCACGTTACTGAATTTCAGCTACTGTAGTGCAACTAGGAGTTCTGCTCTTTCTGGAATATCACACTGCTACATAGCAAGCTTCTCTGCAAGGAGCTATTTAATTGGATTTTCAAGCAGATGATACATTCAGTGAAGTGAAGGGGAGGTTTTATAGCTGGTTTGATGTATCAGATGAATCCCAAAGTTCCTCTAAAAGCAACTATTCTCCCAACTCACAATGTCCCCCTCACTTAACTGACCACACATTACTAACGCAAATATAAAAAGTGCTTAAGAATTGGGCATTCTTGATTATAGAAAATGCACACCTAAACAGCATAGCTTTCTGCCCAAACCAGAATTTTTAGAACAAATTAAAGAAAAAAGTGACCTGAAAATTAATATGTCAGGCCATTTTTGACATGTACTGAACTATTTGCCAAAGAAAGACTCTTTCTTTGCCAAAGAAAGCCTCCTGTGGAGTTGATGGTCATAACTGCTGGCTCTGAATTTTCAGAAACGAAGAAGAAAAGTAATCTTCAACTGGGGTTTCTTTTCTCACGTCAGTAGCTGTGAATCACCTGTTCGGAGAAAAAAAAAAAAGGAACATCTGAAAAGCTAAAAGGCTGTAAAAACACTCTCTGATCAACATATTAGGCAATTCCAACATGCAATATGGAGCAATGTCTTCAAAAGCCTTGATTCGCCTTGCTCCCACGGTAATGACACGCTATCTCTGGAGCCAGGACACATAGAATGCGACCAAGTCTTTTTTTGCCTTCCGGTATTGTTGGCTGAACAATTGTTGAACAAACAATAGAGTTTGAAGAGGCCCAAAATACTGGATTAGAAGACTATGGAGAGCAAAAGCTCACTTCTTATCCATTACTTTCTCCGTCACTCCCAGGAACCCAGCTTTTGCATTACTTATAGTACTCTCAATGTACTATAGCAATTTATATGTATCATTATGTACACACACACAGATAAGTTTGGGATACTTTTGATAACCAGTAATCTTCTGATTTTTCATGCAGAAGCTACTGCATATTTATGCTGCTTGTTCAGCTGTACTTCCAATACACAGAATGCCTCAACATTTCTGTACGTGGTTTGGAGTGTCCGTAAGCAAGGAACTGCTCTTAAAAAAGTTAGTCATAAATTTATGCAGAAATTAACTCATAAAGCAGATAATACAAGAAATGACTATATCTCCTGCAGTACTTAGTTACTATTAGTTTGTCTTCAAACGTCAGTAATTAATGAAACCACTTCAGTGGACACTGTTAATACTCTTTGCACAAACACTTTTTGGCACTTGATAAACATACATCACTATATCAGCTTTAGCCTTTATTCTTAAGGCAAATAATTGCATTACATTTAGCCTACAAGGATGTATGTTTATTAAGCATAGTTCGTAACATATGTGCCAATACATTTTTGTATAGCCATTTGCAAACTAAAATCTCTAATGCAACTGGTTTTTGTATGTGCAGAGCTTACAGTTAAAAATCAGTAGGTTAATCTTAAAGAATGGTATTAAACAGATAACCTTATAGTAAAAAATCCTATTCTCCTATTTCTAGAACAGACTTTCATATGATTTTACTCCTCTGTAATAAATTCAGGCAACCAGCCTGTATGTCCAAGCAAGCACACTCATCTATGTGAAAAGTATTTATTCATAAGGACTTTGTCTCAATCTCTGTTCTCCCAGATTATTTCATGCGCTTCCATAGCAGGGCCCTGTTTCTCCTTTCTGAGCTGTTAGTGATTTTGTACAACCATTTTTTCAAACGAATCTGGACTATCTGTTAATAGTCTCATCTCACAAACCCAGGATTGTTTTCATAATAAAATATGATATTGGTAAGAGAAAGCAGGTCCCAGGTGTGTGAAGAACTCCAAGGAGCACACACTCAGAATTCTGACATTTTATAAATGACACATAGTATTAAAGAGTATTCTTGCTAAAAAAATGCAAACAAGATCCCAAAGAATAAGCTGAATTTACTAAAATCGTAAAGTCAGATCAAAAAGTTTAAATTTGCTCAGTTATCTAGGAAATGAAAAGAGAATAATTGCAATGAGAAAGCCAAATCAATTCTAAGTCATGTCTTTTCTTACAGCTGTCACTTGATTTCTGAAGGGCTGTGGTAGTAGGAGTATTCAGTATACATGGAATAGAAAAAATGTTACATCCAAGCAAAATTATTTTCACTTTGCATTTCAGCAAGAGTAAAGTACACCTCCACTCCTCGATTTCAACTCCAAAACTAGCAGTACATTTGATATGGAATAGAAGGAGCATGCCATAATTAAATAGCATTAAATCATTAGCATGACCAATGAGGAATGTGGCCAATGTTCATGAGGAAATAAAGGCAACATTTATTTTCCTCTTTAAAAATTTTAAACACTGTTATTTGAGACACAGTATTTTGTAATTGCAACAACATTCAGCAGATGATGTGCTAAATCACCATCACTTTTTAACGAGCTGTAGCACTTTATCAATAGTGACTCTCCAGCTCTGGTAATAACTAACCTGGGTAGAAATGCCTAACTGTAAACATCCAAAAAGGTTCTCTTTTTCCTACTGCTAGCTGTGCTGCAAGGATTATACATATTTATCTTCCACGGTCTTGAAATAGCCTTTGATTTCTAAACAGATTTTTAAATTCTTTACAGATTGTCATACCTCTCTTGTGTCCAGATTTTAAGTTTAGTGGGAGCTTTCATTGAGACTTAAGTTCATCCACATGCCAGTAGCAGAAAAGAACCACCACAGAGGAATAGTGCTGTATGCTGTTGTTGTAACCAAGAACCTCTTTGTGCTACCGATGCAGCCATAATTTTGAAAACTAATCTCTTGACAATTTCCAGTTTGTTCTGAAATCATTAACTTCATCTGCTGAAGTCTAGTATCTGTACTTTCAGGCACTGTAGCTTAGTATAATGCAAGTTCATGGGATTTGTGTAAGTAGCTGAAGTATAAATTATATTTGTATATTTACTGTTTATAGTCTGGAAATTCAGTTAAGTCAGAGAGTTTACAGACTGAAACCAAGCTATCAAAGAGTCAGCCACACAGGGCAACCAATAAGATTTCAATGTGTTCAGCAGCCAAATCAAATCGTCTTTCACTTGGAGCTATTCAGTCTGAAGTGATAAACATGCTGAATTTTTACAAGGCCAGAAGTAATTAGAAAGTAAGTACAAGGTATGTCCAAGAGTGATTGTGCTGCTTTGTTACTTAAAAGCTTTTTAAAACTTTTTGGAAAGCTGCAAACAGTCCCTTCAAATTTACTCAATAAAATAGCGCTTTTTATAGGAGCAGTCCTGTCAATATTCAGTGAAAGTATTCAAACAATAAAAGGCTAAGATATCGCCTAAAAAAAGTTTTCCTTACTATAAACCTTAAATTCTTTGAAAAGTCAGAGGTACTAAACTCCTATGTGCATGTTTTACCATGTTGGATGTCAGACAGTTTAGTCACATTCATACTAAGTTTCCTAGAATGCACAACCTGAGGCTTAGCCGCTATTGTTATACAAAAAGTGTTGAAGAAATACTTTTTTTTTTTTTTAAATGTAGGTTAATTACAGGTTAATTTTCCCAGTCTGTGCAAGGCAAACTCTCATCTTCATCCTCTGATTCAGGTGATGCTTCCTTAATTCGTCGCAATGCTTCATGGATGCTCCTTGTCAGAGGGTCAGTATCAGGCAGAATTGTAAAGGATTCTCTCAAAACATCTTTCTGCACTTTCTTCAGTTTCACCCCTTTCCTGATCTGTGCCAAGATGTTATTGCTATCATCTTCATCAGGAAAAGGAGGGAGACTTCTCTGTTCAACTTTTCTTAAGTGAAAGCTGCCACGTTTCAAGGAAGCCAGCACTTCATCCATCGGGGAACTCACTGCAGTAAATCAAAAGACTTTCAGTATTATTTTTACTAGGTTGTATCAGTCTTCATTTACATTTCTCACAGACCAAAAGTAGCTGCATACTATTAACGTGACAGTCCCATACCATTAGTATAATGGTAGCGCCACTATTGTTTTAGCCTCCAAATTTATCTTCCCTATTACCAGGTCAAAACTGGTTTATACAATTATAATTTCTGAAACCACTTAACCTCCTATCAGGCAGGTAGTAAAACCTTTTGAACAAGATGGCTTTCCTGTTTGCAGTCAGGAAAATCCAAAATAATTGCAATGAATCCAACACAATGGAAGTGTTTATTACAGTACCTTTCTTGACTTTAAGACTCAGGTACATATCTTAAGTATTGGACTGTGCAGTCCATTCTCAGCACTTGCATTTTGTGGCTGATTTTACCTACTGTATGGCTATTACTACATGCCAGTGAGGGAAGCAGCAGTATGGTCAACTGCAACAGCATGCATTTTCCTGCTTCTCTGGATTCATGTATGTACTAGCACCTGGTCGCAGTGTGCCTATACAAATTCCCTTCCTTTATAATTAAAGAAAACAGAGAAGTAAGAGTTAAGACTTTATGACAAATTTTTCTTTTATTACCAATTTGGAACTAGTTCTCTGCAGAAATAAAAATCAGTCTTTGGCTCTTTGAAGAGCTACAAGTAGGTAAGATCTCCATCCCAGAGAATGTATTATAGTAAAGTACAACAGTTTGAAATAGCTTGCATACACTAGCTCATACAACATGCAGCACGTATCAATCAACATCTGAATATCCATCTCCAGTTCTTTTTTGTAGATTGTAGAATACATTTTTTAAACCTGTGTTGCATTTATGAGTGGGCTTTGTCCATCAGACTAATGGCCCAGACAGTTGGAATAGACACGATGAAAAGAGAAATAAAAGAAGAATACATGACTGCACATTTGAAGGAGGAAGGAATGACTGTAAAACACTCATCTGTCATACAGAGACAAATTTCTGAAGCTACTTAAGAGACTCGGAACATCTCAGGGAATACAGAGAAGCACATAGAGTGTTGCTGCAGACATTAACAATACTATTAAGAGGGAGGATGTAATTTGATTTTATATTTGTCATTTTATGGTGAATATAGAATTGCACACACAATACGTGCTTTACACAAAACTGCAAGATAAAATGGATATCAGAAAAATAACATTAGGGCTACAGAAAAAGAAAAATGGAGCACAACAGCATCAAAACTGATGACGAACTTAAGACACTGTGCATGCGACCTAAAAGACTCAGCTTAAGAATTCTACAAATATGCAGTCACTTCAAGGGTTTTCCATCATTTAAGGACAATTCTAAAGGAAACACTCTTGTTTATGTCTGATTGATGAGACAGTTCTAATTTTTATTTTATCTGGATGAGGGAAAATGTCAATGGAGGAACATTTTCTGTAGCTGTAGTTCACAGAGCCAGAGAGAATTTTTAATAAAATGTTATTACAGACATATTGCAGCAGTGAGAATCAGGGCCCACTCGACATACTTTTTCTCAGTGACTTACAGTAAAATAGCTCAGCTGAGTGCTTTTGAAAATCCGATCTCTGATTTTCAAATAAAAACTCAGCCCCAGTATAGCATGTTTCACCGAAACACTGGCATTATTTTGTTCAAACATGGCATTCTCCCCATTTTATATATGGGACAAAGGATAAACGAGTAGCACAGAATCAACAAGTTGTAACAGATCTCCCAGCTCAGCCCTGTGCTCTATTTACTCTCAGTTTCCAAAGAAGTTTTTTATTTTTTAACTATTTATTAACATGCTTTGCTGAATGATTACAGATTTAATTCCCAATTGTAGTTAAATGTATATATTCTTATTCAGCTCTCAAGTGTACTTGAGGGTTTGTGGATTTTTGGATGGTAACTTGAAGAAACCTCGAAGATGGTTATTAAAAAAACCACTGCACCCTCAGGTGAAGCATATAATATTTGCAGTGCTGCTTGTAAACTAGATAGGAAAAGATCCTTTTAGGCAATGTTTAGCTCCATTTTCTAGCTAGTCTAACATGGTATATTGTAGTATCACTTTCTCAAGTGTTTTCTGCCTAACTGAACAAGTATACTGCACCCTGTTATAGAGGTCCTAACATTTGTTTGAGTTGCTGACATTTGTCAACTGAAACCGATTTAACAACTTTTCCATTAATAATTACAAATGAATCACAGCATATACTTTTCTGTAGAGCAGTTCAAAAGAGGAACCAATGTGCATTATAATTAAATACACAGAAATGAAAACATTACCTCTCCTCCTCTGTAAACCCTCTAGATCACCAGTTTTCTTAAGCTTCTTCTTGGCACTGACTAGCTGACTGCTGTCAAACAGATATGCTGGCGGGACACTAGAAGAGTGCTGGACTCCTTTCTCCTCGCTCTGACGTTTAACAAGGCTGTCGCTTTTCTCTAAGGATTTGGCGGCATCTTCCTTGGAGGGCAAAGGTGGAGGTGGAGGTGGTGGAGGCAAAGGGGGTGGAAGCGGTACCTCAGTAACAGTCTCTGATTGAAGCTCATTACTGGTGAGTGGAGAAGTACTAACATGAGGCAGTTCAGAGGTAACACCATTGGGAGGTAATGAGATATCTTGAAGCTGTTCTAATTTTCCAGTTCCAGCTCTTCACTCTTCTCTTGGATTTGTATGGTTGCTGGCAAAGACTGAGGCTGATCGAAAGAAGACATTGAGCTGGCTGCACATTTTCTTCTTGCATGAGCCAGCCGTAGTCTGGTTGACTTAAGTATTACTTGCCCAGGGTACCGCTACAGTGAGTAAATATTGACAATTAGATAAGTACATGCAACACACTATTCTAGATACTAAGTACCTGTCATTAGGGTTTGCCTTTCTGACAAGTAGAATTCATCTGTTATTTTCATTCATTTTGCTCTAATTTACAGAAGCTATGCAATTCAAAAGCCTTGCAAACAATAAGGATATGAAGAGTGCTGAACAAGACAGCTTTCCAGTAAAGAAACTTCTCAATACCTATATTTTTTTAATATATTTAGCAAAACCAGAAAAAAACTTCACCAATTAATAGCCTCTGTTTTCTTGCAGTGTCACCCCTTTCCTTAACCTCTCCCCTTCATTCCATCTTCTATCCATCTTCTGATGCTTACACTGTAATAGGAAGGGGCAGGTATTGGCAGGTGTTCTAGCAATCAGTGATAGTGGGGGTATGTCAGATGGTAACACTCTTTGTGGGAAATGCCATTTAGATTATACTTCTTTTAGGAACGTTTGCCAAGTCTTTTGTCACAAGGTGTGGAAGCTTATTACAGCACTGAGAATGTAATGGCAAGAGGAATTTGTTATTACCCATGCTGTATTTTTTTGTAAATTTTCCAAAGAACAGTTAACTATACAATGAAAGACAATAGCTAATAGCAGAATATAGTCCTGGAATGAGTGAAAATTTCTTTTGCAAAAGAAACTGGTGCAAAAGAACAACTCTTCTTCTGTTACCTGTTTAAATGTGCGAAGCCTGTCCAATGTTTTCTGTCGTTCCTGACTAACCCAGGAGCTCTTTCTTTCCTCTTCATCATGTATTTGATCTCGCTTCTGAGAAAATATATGGAAAACAAGTAAATATTACATTCAATGCTATGTTTAGCATCATGGGAAAAAAAAAAAAAAAAAAAAGAATCACAATAACTCCTCTACTGATTGTTAGGAATTACCTAACAATCTACTTCTCAAATAAACACATTTCTGAACTTATAAACTTGGCCTTTGTCTTCCCCTTAAGAAATACTAAGTATTTCATGTTTTACAATCTCAAAGAAATGCAAAGCTCAGTAAAGAAAGATTTCAGTCTGGAACTGAAACACCTGATGACTTGTTACCTTGAAAGATGAGAAATAACTAAAGAAGGGATAGAATATTATACTGAAAAAAGCCTCCTTAAATTAAAAGTGGTATAAATTAGCCAGACCACAAACCACTATCCATTTTCTCTTACTCCAAGAACAAAATCACAGTCCAAATTGCAAGGCTGCCCATTTAGAACAAGTCATATTAGTATTCTGGCAGCGCAAGAAATCACAGAACTCAGTGCCACAAAGTTTTGAACCCAATACTGGGCAAATTAAGTAAACATTCTCATTATAATTTACGACAGTAAATGAAAAGTTTTCTATTAAATTAATTTAAGCTCTCATTATTTAATTCAGCTTGATTTTCTGTATTCTTCCTTCAATAAACGTTTGACACTCTTCCTTGTAGCTAAGACAGTTTTATTTCTTCTTGTCTGTGGATCTTACCTCAGCGAAAACACACATTTGTATCCACCCCCTTTAACTAGCATCCATTTTCACAAAACTTCAGCAAAGTTACTACATCTTTGAAACACAACACTGCTTTTCAGTCAAATTTATTGAAAGTGGATGCTAGTTATCAGATGGCAAAAGTCATTGTACGCAAGTTCAGAAGTTACCAGGAAAAGCGATAGAACAGGTGACTATAAAGAAAAAGCCCTGAGCAGAAACAGCAGCTTTAATTCTTAAAAGACTCGGAGCATTAAGTATTACTTCTAAACACTCATCTTCATCATCACAATTAAATATTCTAATCGCTTTTGTGAACTTTTATTGTCATTCAGTCAACACAAAAGCAGTGTCTGTCTGCTTGCCATTTTCAGAAGTCAGCTAGTGGCCTGGTGTCCTTCATAAAGAGCGAACGCCTGTGATTTGGAAGGAGGCAAGTATAGATGCATTAGGAGGAGGAAGAGGAGAACTTGTCTGAAAAATACTAAGGGCAGGAAACAGGAAAAGGTGAAAAGGAATATAAGTATGTGGTAAAAAGAAAGTAACAGAGCAATGGGGCAAAATTAAAAAGGAAGCATAAAGAAAAGATCATGGGAAGAAGAAAAGGATAGTTCTACCACCACCGCTGCACGTTACATACGCAATCAGGTCAAACTTTTCCTGAAGCAGCCTCAAACTCAAGGGGTTTTTTTGTTTGTTTTGGTCTGGGTTTTTTTGTTTTATTTTTAAATAAGAATAGTGAAAATGCAATTCTTATTTGGTTTCAGGTTTCGATGCCCTTGAGTTTATCTTTTCAAAATTCTTCATGAAAACCAGTGACTAAAAACGTATTTTCAGTCACAGTATTAACAGAAAAAAAAAGACCAAAAAAAATCAGCATAAGGTTCCTCATATAATGCAAGCAGGCAACTCTATTAAATAAAGAATGAAAAAGCCCTGGAAGTGTTTGAGACAAGAAAGTCCTTCAGCTTTCTCAAGTCTTATTTTTAGGAGTGATAAATGGACTACAATCCACACAGCAAATTCCTTTGCCTACTGTAAGAACTAAAAAAAAAAATATTTTTCTAAGTTACTGAAAGAGTATGCCAATACATACTGTTTTTCACAAGTAGCCTTTTCATAAAATAAATTATGCAGCTGACTTCCTGGACAAATGTATCAATGTTAAAAATGTATAAGGATGAAACAGAATCACTTTCGCTAATCTAATTGAAGCCTGAATTAAAGAGACTTGGATTTCAATGCATCTTTGTCAGTGATCTTTATTAAATATTGATACTGTATCAGCTCCCAAGACCTATCCCAGAATTTGAATATTCTTTAATATCAGGTCTATTATGTTCAGCAACAGAGTCAGTCTAGCTAGGCTATTATCTGCGTAAGACTGTGCTGGAACTACATCTTTATACAACACAATTCAAGCGATCTCTTTTGCAGAAAGAAGAGAAATAACAAACAAGCTTACTAAGATTCAAGAATAGATGTGTATGGTTTCCTTACTCATTTCAGCATATCTGATGCTGTACTCAGAGGTGTCTGGAATCATCTATGTGTGGATGATAACAAATTGCATGCAGCCTAACGCTAGCAGTAATCCCTTAGAACTGTTTTACTTGCTTGTGTTCAATGTCATCCTAACACAGCTATATACTCCATGTTACCAGCATAATATGATACAGAAATCCATGGTGCGAAGGTCAGGGACATACACCATCTTTTTAAAACAGCTATCACACTGAATACTCTCCTCATTAATGTATAATGAGGAATGCAACCTATTAACTAAAGGCTAAGCTATGCAGCAGAAAACTCAGACTTACTAGCTGAACAGCATGGTGCATTTTGTATTCCTCCTCACTCTGGTGATGCTGCTGGATCTTTTCGTTATGCTTTGCGATACAGATCTCCTGTAGAGACATAAAATGTTATCTATGAAATATGAATTTCAAATATTGATTTACAGGGTCTAATGTCATATTTAGCAAAAAGTACTAAGAATTAGAAAAATAAACATTACAAAGCCTATCTCAGACAAGCTGATTTAGCCAAGCTAATTTATCTTAAAATAAAACCACAAACTGGAAACAAAACCAAGCCAGATAAACCCACACTTACTACTTTCAACTGTCAAAGGAATACATACAAGTAATAGCTACTTGAAAAGTCTGTTCCAGTACAAAAGTGGCAGCAAACAGCAGTTTGTCAAATACTTCATAAAACCCTGATGTAACTCAATGTATACACATGGATAGTAACTAACTCTCAAATACACTACATATTTCTTTATGCAACTAGGCAGCTTCCCATTTACAACCGTCAGGTCATCTTTTGTATGTACAATCTGCAAGCACAAACATTAATAAAGTTGTTACAGTTTTATGCATGGACAAGCAGATTCATTATTATATTGAATTCACATCTGTAACGTCTGGCTTAAAAACAAGCATTTATTACACTGGCTGCAAATAAGAACAAGTTAAAAAAAAAACCCGAAAACCCAGACCATGTTACAACAGACAACAAAAACCAGGATGACACTCAAACTTCGGGTAGATAATATAACTTAAATTAAGTATCAGTTACAAAGAAAAGGCACGTGCAGGAATTCAGAGTAGCGACAAGACAGACAAGTTCATAAGACAATACTGAGGGCCAGAAATGAGACAGTATGAGAAAAGAAATTAGGCCCGGTACAAGCACCACACAGAACTAGAACTGAATTGGATGTGTAGTTGAATGTTTCTAAACAGTATGACCCTCAATGCTGCTACCATATACAGGTAACACTCCAACAAGAGAGTAAGTGGAAACACTGTCCCAGCTTCATCAGAGGTGTGTATATATACAGCTAAACACTGCTGGGTTTTATGTTTATTTGTTTGGGGAGTTTTCTTCCCTGATGAAAAGAGTTTAATTAATACAGCTGGAAACGTTAATCCATTTAATTTGTAACTGCAAAAGTACAAACTACCTCATTTCTGCATTTCAAAGACACAGCAATAGCTTCAGAATATTATTAGAGAATCTGAAAGACTTTTTGTAATACTACTACTCATTTACCTCTATAGTTTATTCTCTATTTATGTGTTAAGTTCAATTTAAGGTCTTCTAAAATAAAGAGGAATGTGTGTTACGAGATATAAAAAAGTATTATAAAATAAGGAGAAAAGTATTTCAGGTTTGGTTTGGGGTTTTTGACATGTCTCAAATACTTGGGGGGCACACTTTTATGAAACATTTTCTCTTTAGCATCAGTATTTAAATCTTCCTGATTAAGAGCAATAATGAAAGGCATTTCAAGCATGTAAAGAGGATAAGCCATAAACCAGACCAAAACATATTTGGTGCTGACTTTGTCCTAATAAACAACCTACTGTAATGTAATTAGATCCCTATGACTTGAAATAATAAAAAAGACTAGGATGGGCTGAAAACATGTGTCACCATAGGATTAGAAATCTGAATCATCTTAACTAATTACAGACATGGTGTGAAAAAAAACAAGGAAGTTTGCACTCTCAGAGACAAATGCAGGGTTCTACCTGTAGACAAGATTAAGTGACTACAAAGACAGGATGAAGAAAAAAAAAAAAAAACAGCCAGGTGTCAGCATTAAAAAAAAAAAGGAGCTGGTTGATTTTGGCATATGACAAGTTGAACATAAACCAACAAACTCTGGCAAAAAAAGAAAACATCATGGTTGGGTATATGAGCAGGAGCACAGCCTGCTGTAGCTGTGAAGCAGTCCTTCCTTCTCAGCACTGAGAAAGCAGGAGCATTATGCCCACTGACAGCCACACTTCAAGGAAGATGTTGATCAACTGTATGGAGTTAAAGAGAGTATCAAGAAGTAAGGCCCATTTCTCTTTTAATCAGCTGACTGATTTCACAGTATCAAATTGTACTTCTATTAAAGAGACAAAAAGGGAGAGCTGAGGAACCATTTCAACCCTCATCACAGGATAAGCTACTATGTTTAAGACTAGTAACATGTAACATACATAAAAGAGATCTGCGTTAGTATTATATTTAACTAGTTCCAGTGACCCTTGCTTTCAGATTGAAAAGCATCTCAATTAAAAGGTTAGCTTCTCATTTAGGAAGCTCGGTATGTGCAGAAACTGCATTTCACTGTAAGTGTCCCATGTAGTTATGCCCTTATGTGGTAATAATAGTAACAACAACAAGAAAGCATACCAAGTAACCATATGCCAGCTGTCACTGCATCTATGTAACACCTGTTTTGGCACCAGCTCTGCTTTAAACTGTGAGTTTGCAAAGTAGTAAAGATGTCCTATTAAATGGACACAAAACAGCATGTGAGGAAGGAAGCTTCCTGGGTCAAAGCACACATTATGAACGTAACCCAAACAGCTTCACCAACCAGTTGCTTCTCCCAGTCTGCTCACGATGAGGAATATTCTTCCTTGATGTAAAATAATCAAATTTCCTCACACCTCTATTTTTCCAAAGATATTTTCCTAGACTCCTTCTACACCATCTTTTTTACCTTGACTCTTTGCTAGAAATCTAGCTTCCTAACAAAACCGCTCCTTGTTCCATATGATAACCTAATTAATACTGCCGTACAGCCAGCAGGGGGTAGACTGGGATAACAACAGTGATATCCTGCATGAAAAATCCATAACTAGCTTTCAAGGAAGAAGAAAAATAATGAGACTGCTATTAAAATCTTATTTTTGAGTAACTAACTCCCTGTCATCAATACAAAGGAACATTAAGAAATGATTGCTTAATAAATGCAAATAGGTTTGTATAAAAAAATATGAGAATGAAGAGTCTATACTCATGGTAGTACAGTGAAAAAACATCAACCTCTGTAAAACCATAAATTAAAAAAATGCTGGCTCAGTTATTCAGCATCACAACAGAATGAGGTTTCTAACAAACCTTTAGCAAATGTTACTAGATTAAGGTTTGGTACAATTACTTGACAATATCATTAAAAAATAAAAGCATTGACTGCAAAAAAAAAGGGAAGGAATTTCTGAAAAACAAAATTAATAGAGACTATAGTCACAGAAGTTTGTATTTATGTTACACACAGTCTTATTCTACACAGAGTATTTGGTTACCTTTCAGTGCATTACCTCCTCAACAGAAAAGATTTTCAAATACCCAGATGATGAAATGACATCCTTCAAAAAAAAAAAACCCCTGATGATAGAGAATCTTTTCCTATTGTTTTCTTAATAATGATATCTGCTGCTAGAAAGGAAGCATTCTCCTAAGAGAATCTTCAGTTGCCAAAAACCTAGTAATGACCAAGGACTGTAATTTCTAAATATATCACAAGACTGTGAAATACACCACTTAATGCACAGCTTGCTTTTTGTTTTCAACTACAGAACTAATAAGGTAAAAAAAAATTAAGAACACCACCCCCCACCCCCCCCAAACCTCATTAACCCAATCCAAACCAGGACTCTTGTTTACAGTTCTGTTTTAAGACACTTTGTTGAAACAAGCATGGTCAGGAATACAATCTGGAAAGCATTAAGCAGGCTCTCATCTCAGTTCAACAATGTATTTTTCTTAATTGAAAGAGACGGAGACTGAGAAAAATATTTGCCACATAGTGTGTACTTCCTCAATGCACCCTCAAAAACTCGTTCTTTTCTCCGCTTAGCATTCAGTCATCACTGCGCTCATTCTCACCATCTAGAGTCTGCTTTTGCGTGCCATCTGCATCTTTGTTCTGCGTGCTTAACTTGGATTGCAAACTCTTCAGAGCAAGAACCCTTTTTTTCCTCCCAGTTCTATAAAGTACAACTACTCACATCAAGTGCTACAAATAGTGTTCATTAACAATATTTTGCAATATCACTAGAATGGTCAATCAAGATACAAAGCTTGTTTACGTTTGAATCAAAGCCACAAGATTCTTGATTTTCAGGTAATTACTATTAAGCTTAGTAGGTCTCTGTGTTATTCAGCAGTAGTAAGAGCAGCTACAGTAAACACCTCTAGCATAAATATCCATCAAAATGGCTATGTTATTTTCTGCTCAAGTGCCACGAAAAGGCACACAACAACTGATTCTACCTGTTCTTTTTGCTCACATAAAAATAATTTATTTCCCCCTGCAAGTTTAAATACACATTATTCTAATCTGTGATTTCTTTAGAAGCTAAAAACTAAGTATCTCACTGCAGCACTCAACTCCAGATAATGCCACGCCAAGCAATGAAATCAGCAGAGAGCTGGAACTAGTTCCCAGTGCACAGTGATGTCCATGCTGATATATCCAGCAGTGAAGTTCCACGTGGAGAAATTACCTCAGGTCCTGAAAGCAGTACAGCCACATTCTTCCAGCACAATGTAGAGCAAACACGACTGTATTACTCCCAGCTGAGCAGTACTACCACATACCGCTCTGCATCATGCCTCGGTGCATAAGTAGGCACGCTGCAACTAGAACTAATTCCTTTCGCTTAAACAAGGTACTTTATCATAGCATAACCTTGAAACAAATGAGCCAACTGAAGGTGATTAGTTCATTATACAGGTAAGGTGGCATGCTAAAAAATTACTCCTGCTTCAGGGTTGCTTCTTGACTTTTTAACTCCCATAATTTAAGTAAGGAACAGCAACCAGGCTGGCACTTTTAAACAGGTTTCTGTACTCTGTAAGATACTAGCAGTGTCTTTTCACACTGAGGACAAAATAGCTTAACTATTATAACGTAGCCTATATTAATTACCGTAACACGACAAATATGATCTATTCCTTGAAGTACGAAAAAGCCCCACTTGTTGATAGTTTTTGTTTTTACAAACTCAACATAAAACAAAATCAATGACTCTGAGAAAAACTGCTTCCCATAACCAGCTAAGAAGAGACATTTCTTTTGTAATAATTTGTTTGCTGTCTTCTCCATATTGCATTAATCAGAGACAGGAAGTGACTGAAGAAATATAAAAAATCCAAAATATAAAATCTACCAACTACTATTATGCTTCAGATTCAGGTAGGGAGATAGATATGTTAATTATGAAGGGGAGACAAGACCTGAAGGCTTTATCCTCAATCTGCTAGAACTGTTTATATAAAGGGGTCATCTCCCACATCAAGGGACACGACTGAGAACAGAAAACCACACCAACCCCTGATCCCAGTCTGAAATGAGGTCTCAACTGAGACTTCTGCATAGCCGTATAGTATGGGGTGGAAACCTATTTTATAAAGAGTATTACAATGCTCTCTCAGAACTTTGATCTATTCTACTCATTAAGCTATCTTGCTCATTAATAATGCATATTCATGTAACTGCAAACTGCTAGGGAACCATAAACAAGTCATTCTGGAAAAAAGGAATGAAAATATTTACATACACTTGATACACGATTTCAAAACACTAGCTATATTATAACTCTTTTCCCCACAACATACCAGTCACGTAACAGACAAAGGAATGTGACCCTAAATAGCACACCTAGTTTTACAAATTAAGAATATATACCAGATTTCATATATGTCTGCTGAATACAGAGTATCAATGACACACGACAAAACTTTAAAAGGATGAGGTAAGAGAATGAAAATAGAATTCATTAGTGAGAAAACACCCTCGAAAATACTCTTCCACAAATATATATGAAATTAGTCTCTGTAAAAACAGGCATTCTAGCATGTACTTTCCACATGAAAGTATTCTGATTAGTTAATAGAAATAAGCTTATTTGTTGACTTCAAAGTGACTAAAGGTTCCTTTAAAGCTAAAAGGAAAACTGCATCTTAAATATATCAGTTTAATAATACATGCTAGTGTATTTGTTACTCTGCAAAACAACTTTTAGTAAGTAGTTAATATAATCTATGAAAGTTCTGGGAGACTTAGAAGTTGTATCTGAAGTGAAACCTTTCAAAGTTTTATTAAATTTGCTAATTATGCTAGACATATGCAAGTTAATAATACCTTCTTATTTCTGAGGTAGGCTTTCTTGGCTGAAATACGTCCACGCCTTGCTTCCAGCTGGCGGATTTTTTGTTGTAACTTTTGCAGCTCCTCTTTTTGCAAGTGTATAGATGTTGCCATATCCTCTTTTTCAAGCATGGCTTCCATACTTTCATAAGTGTCATAATATACCACTTCATCTCTCTTCTCTGTTTTAAAAACATCAGCAATGAAAAAGTCAAATCAATAGTTTGTATTTGATTAACATTTTGTTTTGTTCAACAACACACACACACCCAAGTTGTGGGATTTAATGCAGAAGAAATGCTATAGTTCTTTCAGAGGAGTATTAAAAATCGAAAGGTCAGAGGAAAAGCACTGAAGAGCAAAGCACTGCAGGGCTTTAAGGTTTATATGAAGAACAGAAATCAATACCGATGAAGCACAGCCTGGTATTCAGATAAGCTCACAGCATTAAAAAACAAATGCAGCTGTAAATGTACGCTTGTGTCTGTAGCCTAACTTGATCACAATGTCCACCCATGTCTTTGGGTCTCTTAACTAATATAAGTGACTCACAATGTGCAGTAATATCTTCTGGTCTTCACTACGAAGTTCAGTATATACAGACTCTGTCTGAAGTCTTTGGCATGAGATTCTTCCGCTATTAATTTCATAAAAGGGGAATCAGGCAACAAAACACCAAAAATCCTCTCTTAGGAGGTTTTTGACCTCCCAGTCACTGCTTCTGCTCAGAGGCAGCAGGGGGAGGGTAACTTCAAGGCAATCCTTCAAAGCACTACAGGCCTGAAAAGGAGGTCATTAGTAACAGTTTTATCAACACTCATGAGTTTTAGCCTCCTGAGTGAAGCATTCAGTATAACATTGAGCTCATCTCTTAAGAGTGATGATTAAAAATCCTTGCAGAATGCTGGGATGAACCAGCAGCAAAGGACTCTCGTTCCTTGTTTCACTAGCATACCAAGTAGGATATTTTTGTAATACACCAAGAGGGATATGCAATACTGCTGGGTGAAACAGGCCAATACAGCTGGCATGACTGTCAAGTGTCTGCTCTTTAACACCACCAAAACTTCTCATTTCAACTTCAACAACTACTTTCAACCAAGACCACTCCTCCTCAACTTCCTCCTACTTCTGCTAGTAGATTATTTGGGGAGAGGGGCACGGTTTTCTTCAGTACACCGTCCATTTTAAAAGCTGTTGCCACTTCATGTTACTTGTATGTACAGTCTCTGCTGCAACCAAAATTCTGGCAGGACCAGAAAAGAAAGCACAGCACTATGTTAACCTTAAAATAAAACCTAATAAAACCAGACCTACTAGATTCTTTACTTCAGTGCTCAGTTAGAAAAAAAAACAACACAAAGTTTCATCCATACGTAAAACTCCCAAGTTACTAGAACCCACTTTGAGACATCAGTGAGTAAAAATAAGAGTCATGGCTAACAATTATATTTTGCCATGCACTTATAAAATGAGAGAGTTTACATGCAAATTTTGTTTTATAACACTTTCATGCAGAGTTAAAGACAGTTTACAAGTGAAAATCCAATAGCTAGGCTGCAAACCAGTCAAATCTACCAGTTCTAAAATATAACGTCAAATTTATGTTTTACTGTTTGAAAAAAACCAAAAAACCTTGGCAACTCTCCAGCAACCTCCATCAAACATACCAAGAATTTTCTACAGCTTTTGAAACACCTAAAAATTTGGTAAGTGCTTAAACTTCTAACAGCTCAACCACTTAAAATAGAACAATTAGAATTATTCCTTTTTAGATAAGATCCACACCATTTGTACTCATGCAATCCACTCTCCAACCAAAGCAGAAACCTACTATCACATTCTCTGTTGACAGTAATGCATCCACCACAAAACCATCTTACAAGGATGTATGAATAGCTTGTACGGATAGGATAAGACCCTTCAAAATTCTAACCTAATAAATTCACATTTTGTGAATGTCAGTGCAGGTATTTCACAGAATCGCAGAATAGCTGGGGTTGGAAGGGACCTCTGGAGATCATCTAGTCCAACCCCCCTGCTAAAGCAGGTTCACCTAGAGCAGGTTGCACAGGATCACATCCAGGCAGGTTTTTAATATCTCCAGAGAATGAGACTCTACAACCTCTCTGAGCAGCTTGTTCCAGTGCTCTGTCACCCTCACAGTAAAGAAGTTATGTAAGTAAAGAAACCCATGCATTTGTGGGTGTGCAGTTTGCCTACTTGATCTCTAAACACAATCCTCCTCAACCAAGGGAAAGTCTTCCTTTCTCCAGACCTTCTCTCCTATCTCCAGGGTCTGGGATTTCTGAGGACCAGCCTTAGAATTAAAGACTGAAGCCAAGAAAACATTCATTAACTCTGCCTTTTCTGTATCCTCTGTCACCAGGGCACCCACCTCATTCAGCAGTGGGCCCACATTTTCCCTAGTCTTCCTTTTGCTTTCGATGTACTTGAAGAAGCCCTTCCTGTTGCCCTTAACATCACTTGCCAGATTTAATTCCAACTGGACCATAGCCTACTCTGACAATGTTCCCATATTCCACCAAAGTGGCCTGTCCATCTTTTCACATTCCATAAACTTCCTTCTTCCATCTGAGTTTTGCCAGAAGCTTCTTGTTCATCCATGCAGGTCTCCTGCCCCCTTTCCTTGATTTTTTACTCATAGGGATGCGTTGATCTTGAGCTTGGAGGAAGTGATGCTTGAATATTAACCATCTCTCTTGGATCCCCCTACCTTCTAGAGCCCTAACCCATGGGATTCCTCCAAGTAGGTCCTTGAAGAGGCCAAAGTTAGCTCTCTTGAAGTCCAGGGTTGTAATCTTACTTATTGCCATGCTTCCTCCACACAGGATCCTGAACTCCACCATCTCATGGTCACTGCAGCCAAGGCTGCCCCCAATCTTCACATGCCCAGCCCGTCCTTCAGTGATTGTTAGTACAAGGCCCAGCAGCACACCTCTCCTCATTGGCACCTCCACCACCTGTGTCAAAAAGTTATCATCAATGCTCTGTGGGAACCTCCTGGCCTATGTGTGCCTAGCTGTGTTGTCTTTCCAGCAGATACCAAGGTAGTTGAAGCCCCCCATGAGAACCAGGGCCTGTGATCATCAGGTTACTTTCAGCTGTCTGTAGAAGGCCTCATTGACTTCCTCATCCTGATCAGGTGGCCTGCAGTAAACCCCCACAACAGTGTCACCCATATTAGCCTGCCCCTTAATTGTTACCCATAAGCTCTTGACTCTTTCTTCATCCATCCCTAGGCAGAGCAGGCATTTGGTTAATGACAGTAGAAAATCACTACTGTTGTTTGTAATATGACAATCTATTACCATTTGATACTTTCCAGATCTAATGTGCTGGATTTGCAAAAGAAAATGTTTTTCTTCTAGCTTACAACCAACTGGCAATCAAATCAAATCATACTCTCAAAAAATCCTCTTAGGACTTCATTAGCAGTACTGCTGATGTCCCTCAAATCAAAACAGAATCCAAAACTCTCTGAAATACCTCTCCCAATACAATCAAAAAATAAAGAATAGCAACTGCCACTACAAGACACAAAGACACATATATTTCAAATCATGCAGATGTGCACAATTAAAAGGCTATTACTTTACTGCCTGTAAGTCCACTTTAAAAAGGAAGCATAACAGAAGATGCAAGACCATTCTTTTCTCTTGGAATGCATAGGAAACAACACATATTCAAAGGCTGCTATGTTTTAGATGTTTTCATTCAGATTAGGTGCTGAACAGTCTTAAAGAGATGTGTTACATTCTTCACAGTAATTCTTCTACTCCCTCCACCTAGGTAAAGTCCAAGGAGGCAATATCATTCTTTGAACAAAATTCCCACATATTTAAGAACTGTATTTTTAATTTTCTGTCCTATGGGAAATTACCTGAGAATTAAAAAAACCCCATTAATTCCTTCTAACATAGACAGCTGTCTTCAATAATTAAAAAAAAAAAAAAAACCAACAACAACCAGAAAACAAGCTTTTGGATTTTACATTAAAAAAACACTTTACAAATTTAAAACAGCCATGGAAGCTAGAACAGTGAACTGTTTTGTTGCCCTGGGGAAGGAGAGGGTTGGTTGTTTAGCACACGGGGGGTTTTGTTTTATTTTCGGTTAGGTTGTGGGTTTTTTTGTGATTTCTGAAGAAAACATTAGTGCAAGTCATAATGACCTACAATGCTTTTACAGCAGGCTTAATCTCCAAGGGCCCTTAGGTTTTACTATCACTACATCAAAGAGAAAGGATTTTGATACACATTCCTTCTCAGCCTTCTGTTTGAGGGATTTCCTTCAGTCCACAGGTAAGCAAACCACACTGTGTCTTCAGTACCAAAATTAAATGTCTGATTTCCCAAGTACAAAAATGATCTAACTCTAAAGCACTAACTAGGTTTCCACAGAAGCACCCAGTCAAAGCAGTTACATTTCTTTAAGTTCATTTACAGAGTTTTCAATCCTCATCTTCCATACATGCAATTACAATTGTTTCACAGTAACAGTGAAAAGAATCCGTGTTTTCTCTTTTTCCAGAAGCAACTCACAATACAATCCAGCTTCTAATCTCTCTTCTTAAGTGACTTTTCTATCCATAACAAAATTTGCTATGCAAGCCCTATGCACTAAACAATAAAACAGAGCTTGTGTGACTAAAAACATTAACTACAGAAAGGTCCAAAGGACAGAATTGGATTCAAAAATGCTGTATGATTTACCTGTACCATTTCCATAGTTTGCAAGTACACAAGGTATAGTAGGTGCTGGAAACATAAAGTTTGCATCACTGCTCTAAATCAGTGAGATGGTAATACAAGCAGCTTCATAGTTTAGCTGAAGGACCCTTGATTTGCAGGAATACCTTTTGAAATCCAATTACTTCAAATAAATTAGTAATAGCAATGCAGATTTTTAATGAGACAAGTCCAGTAATTAAGACATTTCCTCCTCCCTGAATTTAGTTTTCCAAAACTTACATAGTATCTTATATGCTTATTTCCAAACACAGACAATGAGAACCAGACCAAAATTTGTTATGTACATGTATATGCCTTATGAACAGGTGTAAATTTTAATTTAACAGTACTCATGTTAGAAGATCCAGCTCTTCACATGGTAAAGAATCTGTTCTCATTTAATTCCCAAAGGCTTTACCAGACTCTTAGGAAAAGAATTATCTTTTACAGATTACATCTTAATTAAAATGCATAAAGCACCTGACATCAGTCTTCTGATACTTTCAAGTTGTGCTGTCAGCAGCAACTCTTCACATTTCAAGATCTCGAACTGCACTTCATATAATTGAAGCTGTAGATCATAATAATCAGCTTCTAACTGGTCCAAATGGGCTATGGCTTCTGTACCACCTTTCAGGCTCTGCATCTAAATGGAAAGAGGAAAAAAAAAAAAAAAAAAATTAAAAAAAAATCACATGACTCCAGGATAATGAGGAGAACAAACCCACAGACTTTACGATTATGGCTAGATACAGTCTAGTACACTAAATGTAACACGTTAAATTTGAACACATAAAGAAGAGAAGATAATCTTTAATATCTGACATTTTTTCTATATGGCAGTGAAAAAAGCCATGGCATTGGATTACTCATCATGACTGTCAAAGTGACAAGTCACATAGTGCACAGTGTGAAACATCGCTACCACTCTTTTACTCTACTACTTGATTCTCTGACAATACATAATGAAATTGAAATTGGTATTTTCTTATCTTCAGTCCAAAAAGTCTAAAAGTTGTTTTGCTAATGGCATCTAGAAAACTACAGTTAAAACCATCATTAAAGCTGAACTGGGGAGAAAAAATGAAAGGTGGTGGAAACAGGGATAATTACATGCACTGATCCTCTTGTAATGACAACCAAGGAGTTACATTGTTTCTGGAGTCTTTCACAAGAGAAAAAATGTCTAATTAAAGTATTTATATACATTGTAGCGCTTATTTGTGTCATATTTTTGACATAGAAAAGTGACACAAGACACAACTAAAGTGAACTCAAACCATCCTCTTTCATTCAGCCAAACGAGATTTAAGTGCCCAATTCAGTTAGCCATTCAGCCCATACTTCAGAAATAGCAACAGGCAATCTTATGTGCTGCCTCACTTTGGAGGGAATTCAAAGTCATGCAGGTTGTAGAGCTGCAGAAGAATTAGGGCCACATCCAAGTTCTCTACCTGCTCAAAAAATGTATCTCTGATAGTTTCTCTCAGATAATGGATTAAAGTAATTCTAAATTTTACAAAGATTTGCAATCTACCTTACCATTCTGATGAAACGTAGTCCAGTTTCTGTATTAGAGATATTAAGTCATTTAAAAGGGATGTCTACCAAGCAAAAATACAAGACCTAGTAAACAATACATCTTTTAAAATACTTGCTAGTATGTTTTTTCATTATGGTTGTTTATTCAAGGCATAAAACTGTATCTGTAATGAATAGCCAGAAATGGGTTTCTTTGGTTTTATTTATCATACATGTTTAAATATTACTATACTAAACCAGAAAGGTATCTGCAATGATTTAAACCAAAGATCTGTCTTACTCAGTACCCAGTTTCGGACAAAGGTTAACCACAAATACCCACAAAGACAAAACATAGTAGGCAGTGCAGAGATACCTCCCTAAAATGGTTCACCAGCCTCTAGCACAGCTTGCAGCACAGCTTAATCCACAGTGCTGCCTTTTATACCAAATAGACTTACTGGATTTTACTTCATAAATTTGTCCTAGCCCTTTTTTTATAGCATGTATGCTTTTAGCACTTGCATCATTAGCTGTTGGTAGGGATTTCACGGCTCAATTAAACATGAAGGAAACACTGTATATTACACTTCTTCCCATGTAAGATTGATAGACAGAAAATCTGTGAATCAATTCTTGTAACATCTATTTCAAAAATTTCTTCTACCATACTGTATATTTACTGAATGCATTTTTTTTATATCAACTATTAGCCTGAAAGGCTCAGTAAGTCATTAAGTAAATACCATAAATCTTACAATCAATAATGTATAATTTATATGTTTCAGTCCAGGGTGACACCAAAATGAAATGTTACGCTGTTCTATTACTCTGCTTCCATATTAAGTTACTAACTGTGACCAGAACAGTAAATGACATAATGATGGCATGTTTGGAGTAAATTAGAGGCTAGTTTTCAAAACAAAAGGACTGATTTTTTTGAACCTTCCAGTTTTTTCATATAAGAGGGATGATGTTGATTGGTCAGGCAGTGTATCCTGCACTTGGGCATTTTCAAAGGAATTTCTCATTGTAAAAAAATATACCATAGCAACAAAATGTAGTGGGGTATTTTTTGTTGTTTGTTTGTTTCATTGGGGTTTTTTTTGCCAAATTAAGGCAATGTCATTCAAACTTCTACCACAACTAAGAATATTTGCTTTGTCAGTGAACTGTAAAATTCAAACTTATACATGTATTTTTTCTTTAAAAAAAAGATGTTCCCAAACTTAAGTCTGCAGACTATGTATAAAGACTGCATAGAGACATAAATAGGCCTTCTTCAAAAGTATCGGCTAATCCAGCTATAGCAGCTCAGTATTTCATTCAGCTGCAGTGGTGTCTGCCTGATAAAGGACCTGTCTGACAACTGAATCTTAGCCCTACAAGCATACATTACAGATGCTGCCAGCTACCTGTTCTGTTTTAGGGGTACAACACCACTATATTCAGTTTTCAGGTGCAACAGCAATGGGAAATTAATATTGTTGTATGGTTCTCAGGCAGATGTCCTAGCTACATAGTAGTCCCTAATGAAAAAGAAAAATTTAAACCATTTATGTTAAAACTTCATGTGAGATATTATGTATGTGTGATAATTCAAAACAGTATCATTGCTCTTGGGAAAAATTCAGCATTTTTTCTTAAAAATGTAAGAGTGGTTTAATTCTTAATTTTACAAGTTGCTATCTAATCTGTACTAGTAATTTGCTGCATCCTTGGTAGGTCTCCCGCTGGTCAACACAGTGAAAGAAACTTGCAGAACTTTAATGTGAGAATATTAGAGGAGAGAAACATTTTGCAGTTGGACAAAGAACTAGAACAGAGGAGGTCCGAGTTCAATTTCCTGCTATGCCAAAACTTCTTGCATTAACTCAAGTAAATAATCTAATCTCTCCTGACATAATTCACATAACAGTGTTTACAGTCTTTGTTGTCTCATTCATACTAAGTGAAGAAATTAAGCAGGAACTTAGGTTTCTCACTAGTTCTAGGGCAGAAATATATCACCTGTAAATCCACATGTTGGTAATAAAGATATGATGGGTTAAAACAGAAAGCCTCTGGAAGAACTATGAACACAAGTACTAAATGGATAGATGACAAAATTAATAGAAAAATAGCCAAACATGGAATATAGAAATGAGGGCCATCAAATCCAGCTTTCCACCACCATGGAATGCTTTCAGACAAATCTGAAATTAACTGCTTTCATAAACTGAGTTCTTAAAACAATTTCCATGTTGTTATTGTTGGTTTTATTCTCCTTTTTTAAAAACAAAAACAAACCAAAAAGCTTCCATAAAACTCTGTGTTTGTTACTCCCATTAGAAGTCTGTTCCAGACACTCCATCCTAACTGCCAGAAAACATCTTCCGTATTTCCAATATATTCACAATCAGATAATACTATTTGTTCTTGTGCCAGTACTGAACAGCAACATGCACTGCTCTTGACTAATATTTATTCCCAGTAGTATTTTTCATAGAATGACAGAGTGCTTTGGGTCGGAAGGGACCTTTAGAGGTCACCTCATCCAACCCCCCTGCAATGAGCAGGGACATCTTCAACTCAATCAGGTTGCTCAGAGCCCCATCCAACCTGGCCTTGAATGTTTACAGGGATGGGGCACCCACCACCTCTCTGGGCAACCTGTTCCCAGTGTTTCACCACCCTCATCATAAAAAAATTCTTCCTTGTATCTAGTATGAATCTCCCCTCTTTTAGTTTAAAACCATTACCCCTTGTCCTATCGCTACAGGCCCTACAGTTGGGTGCTAGGCCCAACTCCCCTATTTTTGTGGGCAGCAATTTTGTATCACCTCAGCCTTCATTTTATTTGTCAAAACAACTTCAGCTCCTCTTGTAAAATTGACTCACTATTCCTGACATCACTGTGGTAGCCCTTCCTGCAACTGCTCCAGTTAGAACTAATCTTTTGTGGGTGATCAGAAACACGTGGGAGAAAGGTGTAGAAGAAATCTCTCAAGTCCATGTGCAGTGACACTAGCACTTCTCCCTTTACTAGAAATACCTGATTTGACAGACTGAAGAGCATCTGCTGCTGTAGCACCCTGCAGCATTGGTGGCTCAATCATGTTGCTACCAGGTTATAAGACAACGGTCATTCTCATCTGCTGTCACTTAAAAAGTAATTAACTCGCAGTTCCAGTGAAAAATTTGTATAACTTTTCCCTAGCAATATCTATTAATAGCTATTATTAAATTTTCTATTATCCATCCTTTTAAGTAATGTGTTACTGTTCAACTAGAATACAAAGTCATCTTTCAATTCACCCCATGTGAATCCCAACTCTTCTCTAGTTCAAGTATTCATTTTAACTCATCACTGTTGCTGTGTGAGAAATTTCAGAAGAAAGGAGTAAAATTCAGAAAAAAACTTAGGTCTTTAAGTGTGAATACGGAAGCTCATCCTCAAAACCAACAGATCATTTTAAAGAATTTCTAAATTATTTTAAGGGCAACACAGAACACACTGATCAGTGATAAAAGGCAGGCTCTCATTCACACCTCGCAACTCATGGAACAGAAGTACTCCTCCAACCAATTAAGTATCAGGAGTCAACTATAGTCAGGCCATGATACTAGAGGATACAATATTGTAAAAAAATAAGGTTAAGATGATCACTCACAATTAGTACCCTGGGCAATCAGAAAAATTTCAGACACTAAAAGAAACATCTTTTTCCCCTGAAAAGTCTGTACCACTGTTTTTATAAGCTTGTTTCTTTTCCAAG